CGTACTTTTCATTTTGTTACGATATCTCTTTCAGTGAATGTAAGCAATGTATTTAATTTAATTTGTAATATAACAAAGATTATCTTATATGTAACATAACAAGATTACTCATAAGATTTTCATCTTTAGTATGTGCTTACAAAATATAATATTTAATTTAATTTTATTTTACTGAATCCTAATACTAATTTGTGCACAAAGTGGAAGGAACGTGTGAAGAATATTCGTGCAATAGCATTAGCAAGAAAAGAGCTTCACGTGTAAAATGCAATGGAAGCCTTAGAATGCTCGCATACGGAACAAAGATAGAGTTGCGCTCCCTATCTATAGAAGTGACAGAGTTGCTTTCTTTACATACACATGACTTGCATTAACCCTTTATAATGTGCTTGGAAGTTGCATATCTATAATTACATACCTATATATTTATATGTTTTAAATTTTAATGATTTAATCAATGCTTTCCATTTTGATCGTGTAATTTCTTTTCATGAGTAAAAAAATCCGGTTATAGAGAATTAAAACTTCAGAGGAAATATATTGTCAATGAGTAGCTTTCGTGAAATTGGAGCAATATCGATCACAATGTAAGTGCTACGAGAATGTGAGCTGTAACAAAAAAACTTTCCTGTTCTTTGCAAGGAAAATTCAATTTACTCAATACAAAAAGAGAGAAAGAGAGAGAACGTCGCTTTTTCATACAAAATAAAAATTTATATATATTAATATTTAAAAATTTTAATTTAATTTTATGATCTTAAAAGACATAAATTATTTTCTCATTTAAGTTATCGTACTCTTTTACTTGTTTACTTATTTATTATTCATGTAATTCCTAATCTTATGCATCGAAGATACTTTGACACAGCTGCTATAAATCCAGATAGAAAATGAGTTAATGCAGACTCGCCTGCATTGAATTAGGAATTACGTAAATACGCAAAATACGCCGCAACTTTCTAAGGCGCGGACACACAAATTACTTTTGTCTTCTGGACATGTCTTCAATTAATGACCTATGAGAACCCGGTAGAGAACTTGAGTTTCTTGTTTCTCTTCCCGTGTGCTCGCGATGATAATTGGCTTTGCTGCTGCTACTGCTGCTGCTGCTGCTGCTGCTTCTGTTTCTATCTTGTATGTTGTTGCGCGCCATGGATGTATAATATAGAAAGCATGGGAACAATTTCTTTGGTATGCTACGACGTAGCGAGAAAGCTATTCAAGACTGTATATTAATTCATGTAAAACGATGCGAAAAATTCCCCCGCATAGGGAACGAAAAATCTTCTGGAATATAAATCCGCGAAGCTTAATTAAAAATTTAAAAGAAAATGAAGAAGACAATGAAAATTAAAATACTTTGCATTTAATTAATCGTAGTTTTAAGAGTTTGTATTTAATATAATACATTAGTGCATATTAGTTGCAATTTATACATGACTATGGATCAAATGCGCGATACTTCAGCTTATCCTTTAGTTATGTCGCTTCTCCTTTGCCTTTCTATCGTTTCTTTTCTTTATGAACTCTGCTTGCGAATACTTGAGAGAAAGTCTCTTATATAATTAGCTAATATACTATAATATTTCTTAGGCAGGCAAGAATCTTCGTATAAACGACATAAAACTTTATTTCATTTATTAAAGGAGGAGTTAGTGTTGAATCTCCACGTTGTACATCTGTTAAAAAATAACTATATGTGTCTGGCAATATATAACGATTTATCTTGAATTTATGCACAAAATTAAAAAGAGAGAAATTATTGGGCGCCTAGATTGCTTGAGTAATGCCATCAATATTATACAATATGAGTATTACAATCTATTTTTTGATATTCTCGGCTTATTACATTGACTTTTTTTCATGACATGTTAATTTTTTAAGCATATATAAATTCTTATACTCTTTAGAAGTGTTTCATGATTTAATCAACATAATATGCAAATTTCTTTTAATTTGATAGAAGGGTTTGAAAGAAGTTGTATTTATATACAAGATGTCAAATTATCTTTAAATTTAAAAAATTATCCTTGTTTATTACTTATTCTTGTTCTATTAAATAAATTAGACTATAATTCAAATAGATATTGTATCATATCGTATCGATGTAAAATACCAAGACCGACGATACTCGTTATTAAATCCGGAAATGTTGGTACTCCAGTTCTGGTAGCACAAGCACGTAATACATTACGATATTTGTCAATGTGGTGTCGTGTTACACGGTGTAATCTTGCGCGTATTTCGCATAAATACGAGCATATATGCGGTATACCGTGGCGTTTCGTGAGTCACACGAGCCAGAGACGTGTCGATAAAGGTAAATGAAGAGATAAGAGGTTTAATTATATCGCATCGGTGACTTCGCGATAATAATTACGTCTCATCTGTTCACGTTTTCCATTTCTTTTCCAGCTGGCGAAACGGTATCTTGCGTAATTAGTAACACACGTGCTCGCACGTGGGAGCGAAGTTCAGGGTCGCCTTTACTTCGTCGCCTTTCTAAATGTGGTTAATTGGCTCGTGTAATCAAAGCGGTTAATGAAATTATTTATGAGTTTTAACGGGGAAGAAAATTGACGCTTTTTTCTATCGCCTCTGGAAGATTTTCGCACGAATTGCGGAAATGCGATCGACACAAATCATTAACACAGTATAGTAATTAATAAGTCTCACCTACCATTTCACACATCATTTTGCGTAATTGCTATCCTCAGCATAAATTGAGTATTATTGCAATTACGCGGGTCATGTCCATTTACGAGTTGCCCTAAACTGTTAAAAATAAGATTTTTTAATGTTAATTAGATTTTAGTATACATATTCTAAATGATATTCGCTAATCTCAAAATATTTATTAGCATAATTATACAATTTAGATATCTATGCATTTAATTAAGTGAAGAGGATTTTTTTTTTTAGGGAGAGACATAAAATTCGAGAGATCTGAATTATTATTTCAGATTAATTATGAAAAAGAAAGGCGGTGAATTATTCAGACTATGAAATACCAATTACGGTTATGGATCGTCGACGTTACTTATGGGGTGATCCAAAATGTGGGGCGGCGAAAGGGAAGTCGCGACTTCGACAGAAAAACCACTTTACCGTTGCTTGACATGCTTCTGAATAGTACATTCGTGATACAATTGGGTGATCCCGGTTTGACAATACGTAGAAATACTTACGACAAACATGAGAGTCCATTGGATTTGATGAAGACACCGTTATTCCCTTACGAAAGTCGCTCACCTCTTTGTAAAAAATGTCAAATGTGTAAAACTATCTCTGATGATCATCCGGATAATCTAACTCTGCGTGATATCACGAAATGATGATCTATTTTTTTGAATTTGTTTAATTAAGTAAATACTTAATTAGCTTTGAGTCTTCGTGTTATTTTGCAATATTACATCTTTTTTTATTTCTATGCGTAAAATAAAGTTTTAATTAATATTAATTAATATTAATTAACATTACACGAAAAGAAGTTTTGTTAAAGCATCTAAAAATGATCACATATAAATCTGAAAATAATTTTGTTGGGAAATAATTACGTAGGACATTTAAATTGAT